TTGATCTTTTGCTTAGATGATCTGTCCCTTTCAGTGAGGGGGGTGTTAAAGTCCCCTACTATTATTGTATTGTTGTTGATGTGTTTCTTTGCTTTTGTTATTAATTGGCTTATATAATTGGCTGCTCCTGTGTTAGGGGCATAGATATTTACAATTGTTAGATCTTCTTGTTGGATAGACCCTTTAAGTATGATATAGTGTCCTTCCTCATCTCTTATTACAGTCTTTGGTTTAAAATCTAATTTGTCTGATAGAAGGATTGCCACCCCAGCTTTCTTTTGGTGTCCATTAGCATGTAAATGGTTTTCCACCCCCTCACTTTCAATCTGGGGGTGTCTTTGGGTCTAAAATGAGTCTCTTGCAGACAGCATATCGATGGGTCTTGTTTTTTTATCCAATCTGATAGCCTGTGTCTTTTGATTGGGGCATTTAGTCCATTTACATTCAAGGTAACTATTGAAAGATATGAATTTAGTGCCATTGTATTGCCTGTAAGGTGACTGTCACTGTATATTGTCTGTGTTTCTTTCTGGTCTATGTTGCTTTTAGGCTCTCTGTTTGCTTAGAGGACCCCTTTCAATATTTCTTGTAGGGCTGGTTTGGTGTTTGCAAATTCCTTTAGTTTTTGTTTGTCCTGGAAGCTTTTTATCTCTCCTTCAATTTTCAGTGACAGCCTAGCTGGATATAGTATTCTTGGCTGCATATTTTTCTCATTTAGTGCTCTGAATATATCATGCCAGTCCTTTCTGGCCTGCCAGGTCTCTGTGGGTAGGTCTGTTGCCAATCTAATGTTTCTACCACTGTAGGTTACAGATCTCTTCTCCCAAGCTGCTTTCAGGATTTTCTCTTTGTCTCTGAGACTCATAAGTTTTACTATTAGATGTTGGGCTGGTTGACCTATTTTTATTGATTTTGAGAGGGTTTCTCTGTGCCTCTCCTGGATTTTGATGCCTGTTTCCTTCCCCAAATTAGGGAAGTTCTCTGCTATAATTTGCTCCAATATACCTTCTGCTCCTCTCTCTCTTTCTTCTTCTTCTGGGATCCCAATTATTCTAATGTTGTTTCGTCTTACGGTATCGCTTATCTCTCGAATTCTGCCCTCGTGATCCAGTAGTTGTTTATCTCTCTTTTTCTCAGCTTCTTTATTTTCCATCATTTCATCTTCTATATCACTAATTCTCTCTTCTGCCTCATTTATTGTAGCAGTTAGAGCCTCCATTTTTGATTGCACCTCATTAATAGCCTTTTTGATTTCGACTTGGTTAGATTTTAGTTCTTTTATTTCTCCAGAAAGGGTTTCTCTAATAACTTCCATGTTTTTTTTCAAGCCCAGCTAGTATCTTTAAAATCGTCATTCTGAACTCTAGTTCTGACATCATACTAATGTCCATATTGATTAGGTCGCTGGCAGTCGGTACTGCCTCTTGTTCTTTTTGTTGAGGTGATTTTTTCCATCTTGTCATTTTGTCCAGAGGAGAATAGATGAATGAGAGAACAAATGGTAACAGGGTAACAACGTCCCCAGAAAATATATACTAAACAAATCAGAAAAGACCTGAAACTGGGGGAAAAGAAAGGGAAAGAAAGAAAAAAGAAAAAGAAAAATATAAAAACAAACAAAAACAAAACAAAACAAAACAGAATATGATCAAATATGATCAGGCTGGTGCATAGATCAGTGCCACACACTAGATTTTGGTGTGTTTTGGTCTGTTAGAAGAAAGTGCCTCCCAACATTTTTAAAAGAAAGAAAAACTTATATATACACAAAAATAAGGGTTAATACAATGAAGGGATGGAATATGACTGTAAAGATGAAAATTATAAAAGATTTTATAAAAGGAGTTGATAAGATAAGAAGTTGGTTGAAAAAATAAAGAAGAGGATTTAAAAAAAAAAAAGGAGAGAATGTGGTCAGGCAGGAGACTAGAACAAAGCCATACACTAGAGATTTAAGGTATATTATGATCTGTTAGAAGAAATTGTATCCCAAAATTTTAAAGAGAGAACAACTTATATATATATATATATATACCAAAAATAAGGGTAACCACTATGAAGGGATAGAATATGACTCTAAAAATGAAAAATAAAAAAGATTTTTTAAAAAAGGGATTGATGGGGCGCCTGGGTGGCTCAGTCGTTAAGCGTCTGCCTTCGGCTCAGGTCATGATCCCAGGGTCCTGGGATCGAGTCCCACATCGGGCTCCCTGCTCGGCGGGAAGCCTGCTTCTCCCTCTCCCACTCCCCCTGCTTGTGTTCCCTCTCTCGCTGTGTATCTCTCTGTCAAATAAATAAATAAAATCTTTAAAAAAAAAAAAAGGATTGATAAGATGTTGGTTGAAAAAGGGAAAAAGAAAAATACAAAAAAAAAAAACAAACTTTGAAAGACTAAAGAATCATGGTAAAAAAGCCATGAATTCTATGTGCAGTATTCCCCTAGCACTGGAGTTCTGCTATTCTCATTGATCAGTAAACTTGGTCTTGGCTGGCTGTTCTTGCTGATCTTCTGGGGGAGGAGCCTGTTGCCATGGTTTCCAAATGTCTTTGCCGGAGGCGGAATTACCCGTCCTTGCCGGTCAGGGCTAAGTAATCTGCTCGGGTTTGCTCTCAGGAGCTTTTGTTCCCTGCAAGCTTTCCATGCAGCTTTGGAGGACGAGAGTGAAAATGGCGGCCTGCCAATCTCTGCCCCGGCAGAGCCGAGAATTTGGGTCCCCACTCCTCAGTGTGCCCCCAGAGAAAAGCAATCAGTCACTCCCGTCTCCCCGGTCTCCGCTTGTTCGGTCCTGGAAGAGCAGTGGCCCGGCTGTGCCGCAGATCACGGTTTATGGCAACTGCGAGCTGAGAGCCCACTCCTCTGCTCCGTCTCTGCATCCGGCTTCCCCGCTCCTATACCTGGGAGCTCTGCCGCACTCAGGTACCCCGGTTCTTCCTGTGACCTGAGGGTCCTGAGACCACACTGTCCCACGAGGGTTCTACCCCCCGCTTAGCCACTGGAGCGATGTCCCTCAGCAGAGCCGACTTCTAAAAGTTCCGATTTTGTGCTCTGCGGTTCTATCAGTTGCCAGAAGCGGCCGCCGGAGGCCCCCACCCCCGCTGTCTATCTTCCCGAATATCACCTCGGATTCACTTCTCCACACGTCCTGCCTTCCAGAAAGTGCTCGCTTTTCTGTTCAGAGAGTTGTTGCTATTCTTTTCTTCGATCTCCTGTTGAGTCGTAGGTGTTCAGAATGGTTTGATCCCTATCTAGCTGAATTCCTGGGACCAGACGAAATCCAGGTCTCCTACTCCTCTGCCATCTTGCTCCCCATCCTGGAGACTTTTATGCCCAGGAGGCAATGCACCATAACAATGTTTGGGATGGGTGAGAAGTAAGCTTTCTTTTTTGTAAAGCAGAAACTGGGCAATTGTGAAAGGTAAAAGAGGAAAAGGGAAGCTGGTGGCTTGCAGGTGCTTGCATTCTCAGGCAGATCAGTTTTAGGAAAAGACATATGTAGAAGTTGAGAATTTGGTTATAGATTCCGTTTAGACATTGATATCTGCAGTACCCATGAAAAGTCTTTGTTTACATTTTCTTGAAGACTCCTGGGATGGGTTGTGTCTTCATAACATCATAGGCATTATACAGTATGATCACAAGATAAATTGATTTTGTGACACCCAGAATATATTTTCTGGTGCTTTGGTAAATATACCAAGTACCCTCTCTATCTCTTACATTCAAGAATGTTCCAGATACTGAAATCTCATAGTTTACCAATTACAAGACAAGAGGAAGATGAATATGTGAATGATAGAAGAGAAAGCTGTGCAAGAGGAGAAATCCCTTTCCCCAAATGTAAAGTGTACAAGATGAAGAGTTCAAAACTCTAAAAATAGGCAAAAGGCATCTCCAGGGATTTTAATGAGCTCAATAGTACAGTGATATGCTGGATTTGATATTTATTTTTTGAAAACACATTTTGATGTAGTGAACAAGAATGGGATTAATTATTAATCACTTCCCCCAGTAATATGGACTAACCATTTTATATACAAAGAACTTTTACAACTTGGATTTTCCTGTAGTTTGTGAAATTTTATATTTTACCTGAAAAGCTTTTCATTTCTGGCATAAAACATAGGCAAATAAAAATGGTCAGTCTTTTTAAATTTATTTTTTATTCTCACTTTAGAAATGGAATACTTTTGGTTTTAAAGATTAGTTTACAAGAATACTATTAAAAACTGCTTAAAATTGGATGTTCATATCAATATTGATTTAGCATTCTAAATGTAATATATTTTAAAATATGCAACATTACTTAAGGACTTCATCTTTTGTATTGAGTTGTAATGCAATATAGCATTAGAGTAAGTCCCGCCAACATTAGGAAAGCTCCTATTGAGCTATTTATTTCGCTGTTTGCAAATTCACGTAAAAATATCTGTATTTTAACTATGCTAAATTTCTGGTATACAAGTAGGAAAACTTTGTGATACCAATTTTATTCCCATTGCTGTATTGTGCTATTTTTTTTTTAAACAAGAATCTGTGATAGAGTTGAAGGAACGCCAGATAGTGCTTACAGCTCAGAAGTATAAAACATAATCTGTGGCTATAATAAGAAAAATATTCCAGCAGGTTCAAAGAGATTGGGAATAAAAAGCCACCCATTTGCTTTTTTGTAGAAGCAGTAGCAATCTGCAGACAAGCTATTCTAGCTTCAAAACAGTATGGTAGATGGTTTTATGGAACTCGCAATTACAGAAATCCACTTTAACCTTTCTTTCTTACTGGCAGGTGTCCCATTGGCTTACAGCCAGAGGCTGTGAGTGTAGTGCAGCCGGTGTGTCCCCCAGAGTGCTGAAAATGCCCACGCTCCAGCTGGCTGCTCATAACTGCACTGATTGTGGTCTGACAACCCAGAGCTCTAAGAAAGAAATGTGATGAATATACGAAAATATTTTACAAATTTAATCAGATTACAAATTTCATCTCTCTTTTTTCTCCTCTATAGATATGATATCTGCACTTATAAAAATAAGCCCTGTGGAACATTGGGTAAGTTTTTTATAAAGGGAGCATAGTTCAGATTGTCTTTTTTGTCCAGTGGCTTTACTCTTTATCATTAATTTGGTCATTTTCCTTTCTGGCACATCTGAAATTACTCCTATAAATTGTTAATCCTGACCCATGTGGGTATGTCATTTAACTAGGAAACAAGTAGAATGATGATTAAAAACAACTTAGAAGATGATTCTAAATCTTCAAACAATCATGATGAATCAAAAGTTACCAGTCTGTAATGTATTTTCCAAAAATACCAAGGAATTTAAGAGCAAATAAAAGCACACAGCATCTTCAAATATCAGGCTAGGAAAGGATAGGGGGAAAAGTCGGGGGATACTTAAAAGGGAGACATTGTGTTCTTAATGTACTTTGGTGCAATTTTGTGGCGCGGGTATATCCCCATAAATTAAGATATTGGAAATTGTCAGGACCTGAGCAACAATAAAAAAAAAAATTGTGAAATATTACAACCAGCAGTAGAGAGGTCAAGATTATCTTTCTTGTGCTTCCCAAATATTTGTTTTTTAAAAAGCATTTCTGCATATTCTAGAATTTAAAAAGTCACATTTTGTTGTAGAGTATAACTTCATTCTGGTTAAAAGTTAACTGCAAATACAAATGGGGGAAATGATAGCTTTCAAGTAGACTGAATTGTTAAGCAACTAGAGTTACTTTTAAGAACGGGAGCTTTTTCTTCTAAGATAATTTTTTTAGTGTCATAGAGACTGATTACAGACTCAAAAGTTAAGCACCTGAAGGTGAATTTTCTAGTTTCTCTATGATAAGTCTCAATTTTCTTGCCTGTAAAGGAACAATTATGAAATCTATTCCTATGCTCCTCATAAGAATTTTGGGAAGATCAAATTTAAGTAGAGGTGGGAGAAAAGGTGTTACCCAGTTTCCTGGGAGAATTCAGAAAGTCCTGTCTGTAGAGATTAAAATTTCTCTTGATTTTTATCTGCCTTTCCAGTCTTCTCCTATCCTATTTCCCTCAGGATTTAAGGCTAAAAAAGAAATCCCAATTAGCCAACGATCAGTATTTAGGGTAGAGAAGTTTGCTAGTTAAAAAACATAATGTAGAAAGAACTCTCTTTGCTGAGAGATCTCACATCAAAAAGATTTAGGTTTTTAGGTTAACAAAAGCAAAATAATCCATTGGAAAGGACCCTAAAGTGGAAACTGGAAACTAACAACTGGCTTTGACTGTTTCAGTGCATTACCTTTTCCTCTTTATTTAGGTATTTATTCCTCAATTCCTTATCTATGAAGTAGGAGCAATATCTGCCCTTATGTAACAGGGATATTGTAAAAATCACTTAAAGGAAAAAAAATACAAAGATGTTTAATAGAGAAGTACTGTAAAAATGCACTGGTATTATTATTTGTTGTAGAAATTATACTAACTTAACCTGTTATTGTTCAATATCTGAAAGCATTTACTAAGTGCTTGATCAATTTTAAATACAATTGACACTAAGCTTCAAAGGAGGTATAAGCTAGAGCTTGTATTTTTCCATTGTATATATATGTATTCTGAGGAAATACATATGTATATATCTATATACATTCTATTCTGCTTTTTGAAGGTAGATTGTTTACACTGAGATGTCTTCTTCATTAGGACATTAGTAATAACACTGCCTATACTTATGTTGTTATTTTTACTCAAGTAGATTCGAGATATGCTTCTACCCAACATCTCTTTCTTTCCCAAATATGTATTCCAATTTTTATAGCTTATTAATTTCCAAAATCAATACATTAATACTTTGGTTCATGTCAATGCATTTTCAAGCTCAGTATAAATTATTTTCAAATTATAAGCCATTATAAATTATCTTTTATACTATCTCATGGTGAAAACTAAATGACTGCATATGTATACATGTGTTGAGCTTCATATGTGAAAAATATATTATCAGTACAGAATGGTGGTCAGGGTTTTTCTTTTTGGGTGGTCATTCTGTCAACTTTCATGTTGGTTTTTATGCTAATACTTGCATATTCTCTTGCTTAGTAACTTTGATGACCAATTGTAACATGGCTAAGTAGATTTAAGGGTGCAAACTGTGGCCATCAAACTGAGGAAATCTAAATGACCCAAATAGTAATCAAACCCCTATTAACACAATCACACGTAAGAACTTTGACAGCCTCAATTTTATAGGAATATAGAAAGTTGTAGGGGTTGTGAAAATAGATTAGCTCTAAATTATTTTATTTCAGTTAGAATTTAGCTCTGTATTTTTAACGAAGAGTTATTTCCCAAATATGTTCTTTCTGAAGTTGTTCTTTTAGTAGAACAACTAAGTTAATTTTATATCAGATAGAGAGGTAAATCTGTGCTTGCAAATACACCTTAGGGAGTCATTGAGAATTCTCAGTTAAAAATATTACCACATGGCATATACCAAACAGTCACAATAACAACAAACAAAAATCTAACCCATGGAATAATATATTTTGGGAAATATAAGAAATGTTAATTTAACAATAATTATTCTCAGTAATTGTTTTTTAACCAAATTTCATAAAGCTTAAAACAGAAACAGTATTCAAACAGTGTGGCTTTGTTCTTCCCATATCATGAATGATACTGAACTCAATAGCTTAGCCAGATAATCTACTGCAAACTTTTTTGGTATTCTTTCTCTCCCTATCTCTCTTTGTCTCAGGGGAATTTAGAACTAACATTTCTTACATATTTGTGATTTACCAAAAAAATTAAGTCACCTTAGTGACTTAGTGCCCCAACTAGTCCCTCTTTTTACTTCCTCTTCTTCAGGTCCCAAGACTTCTAAGTAGATGGAAGGGCACAACAAGGATAACACTAGTATTTACAATAACTCAGTGACAGAAATCAACCCCTTTCCCAGCGCGTGCTCCTTCCACATAAAACAGTAGGAAAAGCAAACAATCTATTAGCAAATCTAGCACTGACCTCATCTCTGTTCCAGTGTGGCTATTATGTTCATATTTTATATTAGAAGGTACAGAAAAACAATTTCTAGAGCTTTCTTATCAGTAAAAATATTAATTGAATAGCTTTTATTGTTCCAAATTAGTGTAACTGGGAAATTGTACCTAGCATGGAACATTGCTTATTGTGGTCAATAAATATTCATTGAATTGGATTCAAATCACTTTTTGTGGTTAGATAATTATTATTTGGGTAATGATAGTAGACTACTAACATACAAAATGTTTTTCCTACTTTTCCTTCAATTTCTTTTAAATAACTTTCGTTCCTATATGTGTTAAGTATAATTTAGCATCTGTTTCCTTATAACACATGACATTTTTCACACAAAAATTCTTTTTTTCTAAGTACTGTTTTAAAGTTATGTACTAATTCACAGGGCGTAATATTCATTTGGAAGTAAATATGAAAGCTTTTACAAGCTAAAATTCCCAAGGGAGGAATACCTTGAGAACGGAACATTTCATTAGAATCAGTGAATTAACACTGTAGTTTTTGCTTTATTAGTAAAACTAATGCATTGAAGGGGGATGGGAGAGGAGATAACCATTGAAAGTGTGAATGTCTTTCTTTCCATTAAAATACCTAAAGAAATTGTTGCATCACTATCAGGACTTATTTCAGAAGATTAAAAAAATGCAAAACCTCCTATTTTTAACAGTTCTCCTTTTTCTCTTTTGAATCATTCATTTTTGCTTTTATAAAAAAATGTCATTTAAAAAAAAACCATTTGGGATTCCCTTTTTTTGGTAACTAAAAAGTTGCTTGTATATTTTTATGAACCCACTAAACTTAAACAGATCTCTTTAGAAAAATAATGTGGATGTATTTTGCTTTCTACAGCCTGAAGAATGTTAAAATAGAAATGCTTTCTTGAATTCCCTCTTCTGGCTCAAGTTACTAGGTGGTCCCAAGTTACCAGAAGTAAAATTTATAAATCTAACCCCTAGTCTAGACATTTTCCAGCACTGACTGCAGTTCAAAAAATATTAATGTCTAGCCGGCAAAGTGAAACTCCCCCCAGTGATTTTGCAAATGACTAGAAAGTTAACCTTTTGCCAACTGCTCCTTCTGTGCATGGAGGTTATTAAAAAGAATCCAGGCATTTATAAGTATGGGCTTTTTAAGACTGAAACACCTTGGCTTGACCCTTTGTGTCTCCTTCTGTTTATTCAGGCTTGGCCTCTGTGGCTGGAATGTGTGAGCCTGAAAGGAGCTGCAGCATTAATGAAGACATTGGCCTGGGTTCCGCTTTTACCATTGCACATGAGATTGGTCACAAGTGAGTGAGTTTAAGAAAATCAAAATAAATTTTAGAACTCCACTCTTTTGAGCAACTCATAACTACTGTGTGGAGCGCCTGTGCTCAAACATACTTTACTGCCTTTTTGTCTGATTTCAGTAGAGAATGTTATCATTTGGGGTATTGGGATAAATCATCTTAAGAACTGGAGACTTGTTAAATAATCTTTCTGATTCAATGACCCATATTTTTAGAGTGGTGAATGAGACACACTTAAGTTTTGTTATATATATTTGAAATAATTTACCTTTAGCACGGTCTGCTCATCACACAGTTCCTCTAAGTTAAATTGTTTAAATGATCTTTCTTTTCCGCAAGTGACAGTATCTATATATTTTAAAGTCATCATTGATGCCACTACCATAAAATCTACTTTGAGTTTTCACTCTTCATACAGCGGGTGAGCATACCTTTTCCAGACATAAAGTTTGTGCAATCAGTGCCATGTAACTTGTGTTTTCAGGTGTAATATGTCTTTGAAATAATAATTAAAAAAAAACCCAACAACAATCAAAACTGATGCTACAAAGAGTAGTGAGATATCATTCTCATCACCTTTTAGGAGGATCTGGAGTTTTTAATATTTGTTTTAAATAAATCTGTGCCAAAAACAGTCCTATGGCTATCCCCCCACATGCACACACCTAGCAATAAAATCCTTACTTTCTTTTTTTCAAGCAACAGGCAGTAGTAAATGTAAAAGCCTGCTCACATGGAAGGAGAGAAATTTGAAAACTTTAAAAGGATCGTCAAACATTTTTAACTAAAACAAGCCTATTTGCAGGAACTCCTGACATTTGTATGATTTAAGTTTTACAGTCTGCTTTTTGGTAGAGAAAAGGATGGGGGAAAAAGAACAAATAAAAATGAATGTTTATTATATAGTTGCCTCAGAGGTCATTCCCGAGATAAATCTGTAGCTCAGCTTGTTTTGTTTTTTGTTTTTTGTTTTTTTTCCCAAAGTGGAGAGTGAAATTGAGTCAGTCTGTTGCATTATTTTGAAGTTTGCGACTTAAATTTTACCAAATTAGTGTTGATTTATGTGTAAATGCGAGTAACCAGCAAGTTTAAACCTAACTTGATTCAGGCATGAGGGAAAGTCAGTATTACAGGCCTAAAAATACTGGTATTCTAGTTTTCATTGCAGTAAACAGCAAGGGAACAAAAGGGGAAAGCCCTCTTAACCAGTCAGTTTATCTTCAATGCATGCACTTAAAAGTCTGGCTCATTAATGACTGTCATAATCTTATACAACCAGACTGAATTTAATAGGTTCTGTTAGATTCAATTAAATTGAGAGGTTAGGACAAGTAACATACAGCAGATGAATAATATGTGTATGAGAGCACTGTTACCTCATGCAGTCGGAAGTTAGTCAACGTCAACATATGCATTATAAGTCTCCTTCTTGTATGTACTTAAATAGTTGAGGTAAGGGTTTATCTCTCTTTGTATCTTTTATTGAGATGAAGATTCTAACTGACCAACTCTCAGCCTTCCTAGATTTTTGTTATTGTTGTTGGCCTCTTGGGTAACTCCTTTTAATTCTTTTTAAGTTGAATGGTTTATGCTTTATATAGGCGATTATGAAAGAGAAGTAGAATATGAATTAACCTTTTAAGACTTATATGATTTAAAGTAACTTTATTTCACAGTTAATTCTTGTTTGATAATATGACTTCTAAAAATGAGGAGGGGGGAATCTACAAAATGCTTTATATTGAGAACCAGAAGAAATGCTTCCATTCAAAAATGTTATTTGACAAGTGAAAAATCAGCTATCCTTCTATGTTCAGTTGATTAATATGTCCGTATCTTCCATTCCTTTTTCCCCAGACAACCTGGGCATGGTATGTTTTAACATATCTTTTTCAATAAATCAAATTATTATTTGCTCAGTTAGGGAAAAATCTCTTTTATGAATGAAGATCCCTTTACTTGTTTTTATGATCTTAGGGTTTAGCTTTAAGAAACTTAGCAAGTCAACTCTGGCACAACTCATGGCATCCCTAAAATACCGTGTTCCCTATTCTTCCTGAGACAAAGCAACAGCCATGGTAAATGTCAAGTGTCGTTTTCAGTTAAAGTATATTGAAGTTTTATAACTTGTATCATTTAGTGGGATGGATGTTAAGTGATGTGATGTTATCTGCAGATTTATCACAATGAAGAATATTGGACTATGAGTTACTGAGAAGTGACCCCACTGAATCACTAGACTGTTGGAAGATTTTCTAGTATTCTTTACAGTGTGTAGAGTATGGTTTTGCACCCACTGTATACTTGTGTAGGGATGGATATACTATCTATTTTGAACAGCTATGGGATAACTTTTTTCTTTTGCTAGGCCTTAGTGACCATTTTTTTTCTGGTGACTCGTATGGGGATCAAATTAGTGACCACTTTTATTTCTCTTTGTAAAAACAAGAAATTAATTTTCTTGTAAAATAAAAGATTGAGGGTTTATGCTATATTTAAATAACATGTCTAGCTTTAATGTAGTTATAAGCCATAGGCAATTAACAAAACCTTATAGAAAAGAATGCTCATTGAAAGATCTTTTAATTAATTATATAGTTGCTATAGGTTTCAGCAGTGGAAAAAATATGATGTTGAAAAATTCAACCTGACTTCTTGTATATTGAGAAAACTAAATTTTCCATACTGTACAAAAATAATCTTTTTTTAAAGATTTTATTTATCTATTTGACAGAGAGAGAGAGACCGCGAGAGAGGGAACACAAGCAGGGGGAGTGGGAGAGGGAGAAGCAAGCTTCCTGCTGAGCAGGGAGCCCGATGCGGGGTTCGACCCCAGGACCCCAGGATCCTGACTTGAGCCGAACGCAGACGCTTAACGACTGAGCCCCCCAGGTGCCCCCCAAAAGAAATAAAAAGACATCTTAAAAGTATTTATAATTTTTAGGGATGCATATTGAAGTATGCAGGACTGAAATGACAGGATGTTTGAGATTTGCTTTTAAAAGAAAGTGAAAAACAGAGAAAGATATGGCAAGAATAGCAACATCTTGAATTTTATTATCTTGATAGTGTATGGATGGGAGTTCATTATGCTACTCTCTCTACTATTGTATACGTCCGATACTTCTTCACAAAAAAGAATAGGTCCTAAGATCATAAATCTTTTAGTTGACTTAGCTCATTTAATATTTAATCATTATTTAGTGAACTATAACTGATTTTGACAAAATTTATGGAAATGTTAAATGTTTTAGTGAAAGCTGCAAGTATATATTGGTCTTGCTTTTGGAAATCAGTATCAGTGTTTGGTCTTACCAATAGGGATACAAAAGAGTCGTTAGGAGATGATTTTTTTTTTTTTTTAAAGGAGATATATGGCAGGCTTCAGGATAAAATTGTAAATTAGGTTACTTGTATTAGGAAGCTCTTATTACTATTTTCTTTAATCCAAACTTCCTTTCTCTTGCTACAAATACCTAGGTGTCTCGAAATGTTTGATCAGGGCTGTACTTTCATAATAGAAGGCTAATAATTAATACACTAAGGGAATTTTAGGATTTGGAACTAGTATTTGAGACTGTATTTGGGACGTTAATGCCTTTGTCTAGTTTTGGTATCAAAATAAGTATTCTGTGTGTTCTGGAAGAGTTTGCTTTCCCTTGAGTATGTTTTAAAACATCATTTAAGTATAATTTACATACAATAAAGATACATACATTTTGTGTGTAGCTCAATGAATTATGGCAAATGTATATAACCATTTAACCACCACCACAATTAAGATGTCAGCATTTTCATTACCTGAAAAAGTCCCCTTTTTCCCTTTTTACATTCAATCTCCACTCTCTTCCCCTTTTCCCTGGGCCCAGACAGCCACAGATCTACTTTCTATCACTATAGATTAGACTTGTCTTTTCTATAGTTCCATTTAAGTCAGCTTATATAGAGGGCACTTTTTGTATCTAGTTTCTTTCCCTTAGCGTAATGCTTTTGAGATTCACCCATGTTGTTGTGTGTATCAGTAGCTTTTATGTTGTTTTTGGTTTTTTTTTCTGAATAGTATTCCTTATCAACAGCAATAGCAGATACCACATTTTAGTTTTTTTCTAGTTTGGAGCTATTATAATGAATAGGACTGCTATGAACATCCATGTACAAGTATTTGTTTGGACATATACTTTCATTTCTCTTGGGAGGTACTGCTGGTATTATGGTACATGTTAGGTTCACTTTACCATGAACTGTTTTTCAAAGTGGCTAGATACCATTTTGCATTCCTACTAGCAATCTATCAGAGCCGATTACTTCAAGATCCTTGTCAACATTTGTTTGTCTTTTTTATTTTAGCCATTATTATACATTTTAGTGGCATCTCATTGTAATTTTAATTAATCATCTATTTTCTGATAAATAATGTTAGTGATGAGCATCTTTTCATAGGCTTATTTGTCATTCATTATCTTCTTTGAATGTCTATTCAAAATCTTTTTCCCATTTTTTTTTTCAAACTGAGGTGTCTCTTCTTATTGAGTTGCAAGAGTTCTCAGTATATCCTGGGTAAAAAACTCTTTGTCATATATACATAATGTGAATATTTTCTCCAAGTCTATTGTTTGCCATTCATTTTTTAATGTTTTTTTTTTAATTCTAAAATTTTAATGAAGTGTAATTTAAAATTTTTCTTGTATGGGTTGTGTTTTTTGTGTGTGTCCTAAAATGTCTTTTCCTACTTCAAAATTGTGAAAATTTTCTTCTATATTTTTGTCTAGAAGTTTCATACTTTCAGCTTTTATATTAAGATCTATGATCTATTCTGAGTTAATTTTTAATTTTTTTTTTTAAAGATTTTATTTATTTACTTGACAGACAGAGACACAGCTAGAGAAGGAACACAAGCAGGGGGTAGAAGGAGAGGGAGAAGCAGGCCTCCCGCCGAGCAAGGAGCCCGATGCAGGGCTCGATCCCAGGACCCTGGGATCATGACCCGAGCCGAAGGCAGA